TATTCCAGGGTCTGGGCAGGCAGGAAGCAAATGGAAAGGATGAGACAGGAAGGGGTTTAAGCTAATATGAAGGAGGGCAAGGGAGGAACCTGGGGGGAGAGTGACAAAGGGCTGAAATGACAGATCAGATGATGTTGATGTGACTTTCTAGTACCACTGGTAGTATTATATACATGAATATATTACATCATGCATTTTAAATAAATATCTATTGAGGTGAATATAGTGATTGTTTGTATTACAAGAATGGGATTTGTGCCTGCTATGGGCTGCAGTTGTACCACGAGAAGGTGTCCCATGTGGCCTCCAATTTAATTTCTACTTTTAATTTGAAAAAAAAAAAAACTGAGCCATCCAGGTTCCAATTTAACCCCACTAATAGGAATGGGCAGGAATGAAACACAATACCTGAAGTAATGTGGTTCATTTTATTTCCAGAAACCTTTAAAAAACAAAACAAGAAAAATAATTATACCATCTGTCTGTATCATAAATACAGGGTGGGTTTTTTGAGGTTATACCATGTCAGCGTTTCTCGAGTAGGTATTATTTTTTAAGTTTCTGTAAATTCCTGTTTGAAGAAAGCCAACCACAAAACCCTGTTACACAGCAAGTGCAGCTGTGCATTTGGCTGAGGCAGAAATTAATCTAGGAGATTAATTCTGCTTCATGTTGGCTTTATATTGACATAGGAGCTGACGCTTTCCTGGTGTAAACATGCTTTGCTGATGGCTCGTTTATAATTTCCCTTGGGCAGGGAAAACCCTCTTACCCTATTAGAGTATTGAGGCACCTTTAAAACCTTTCTATTATTTTCTATGTATCCAATATTTCATCTAGGCATTTTGTTTTTTTTTTCCTGTTTCATTTTTCTCCTTTTTTCTTTTCTGAGGAAGATTTAAGTTAACATTGTTGGGTCAAATGTAGCACAACAATTTTTTGTAATGTAATACCGCATGCCTTCAAGTTACCTGTTGGTTTACAGTGACCACCTACATTTCATAGGGTTTTCTTAGGCAAGGAATTGCTCAAGTGGTGGTTTGGCCAGTTCCTTCCTCTGAAATATAGGCTACAGCACCTATATTTCATTGGCAGTCTCCCATCCAAGTATTGAACAGGGCTGGCCATGCTTAGCTTCCAAGGCAGAATCTGGTGCCTTTAGGGTATTTAGGCCCTTATCACATGTTTTAAATGTTCACCCAGACTCATTTTGATATGCAGCCAGATCATTATTTCTGGTAGGATTTTAAGGGGTTCTAATAGCAGATTGATTGTGTCAAAATAAATGGTTGGGTGAAATTTAAATTTCTTGCTGACAGATGAACTAATGGCTCAATTTTCTGTGGTTCCTGTGTTTCCAAAGGGCTTTTGGATCTGTTAACAGCTTGCACACATGATATGATTATGGAATAAATTTGAAAGTTTAATCTGCTAGTGATAGACAAAATACCCTTGTACATAAGTGATATGCTGCAGCATTATCATTTCTTCCCAAGCATCCTAACATGTAGGACAGGCAATGAGCTCTTCCCACATTAGTTCCTTTTGGCTATATTTGTTTCCTTTCCCCCTGGAAATTAATCAGGAGTCAGGTAGCTCATGGATCAGGGGACCTATCAATGGACCATCACTTTCAATCGATCACTGCACAATCCTTTTGGCAGGCCATGTGGCACTGTTTGGGATCACAACTGCTGGGATCTTGGCACATTCCTAGTTCCCTTATTAATTGCCCTTCATGTCCTAAATAAGGAGAATTGTACAGATAAGCTACTCAGCTAATTACTTAGGAACCTGTCAGCCTTTATCTTACTGTGTTCTGACAAAATGAGTGCAAAGGTACTCATATGACTGACAGACCATAAGCAGCAATATGCTGCTTCATGTCCCTTGCTCTGTTGTATGTATTGATCAATACAGGAAAAGAGAATTTTATACTGCTTTCCCTTCTTTTTTATAGCAGTTGCCTCTGGGTATATTTGTTTTTATACCTGTCAGGATAGGCCTTTATTTTTCTGTTGAGAACAAATTTGCAAGCACTTATACATTAATAATTTTAATTGCTTATTATACAAATTGCTTAATTGGTCCTATTTAACTTTTTTTGGTTTATTTTATTTCACTCCTCTAGCACTGTTTACATGCATAAGATTGTCTGTGTGCAAACAGATGTGCTCAAGATAAATGAATAACGAAGTTTTTGAGCAGGGCACCTTTTTCAACCTTTGACAGCACAATGGTTGTTTTGTACACTTTAAGGGCAAAAACAGTCTGTGAAATAGATGCTAATGCTTGTGATTTTGACTTCTGGGAAAGGGCTCTGTGGAATAGAGTTCAATAGATTAAAGTTAAAGGTTTCCCCCTGACATTAAGTCTAGTCATGTCGGACTCTGGAGGTGGTGCTCGTCTCCATTTCTAAGCCAAAGAGCCGGCGTTGTCCGTAGACACCTCCAATGTCATGTGACCAGCATGACTGCATGGAGTGCCGTTACCTTCCCACAGAAGTGGTAACTATTGATCTACTCACATTTGCATTTTCTCAAACTGCTAGGTTGGCTGAAACTGGGGCTAACAGTGGGAGTTCACCCCATTCCCTGGATTTGAACCACTGACCTTTCAGTCAGCAAGTTCAACAGCTCAGCGGTTTAACCCGCTGTGCCACCAGTAGGCCCTATAGAATAGATACTTCGAGAAAAATATCTGAAATTTTCACAATAAATAGTCTCTGATTATCTTACCAAAACAACTGTCTGAAACTAGAACAGCACCATAGTGATAGAAAAGATGGATAGTGCAAGTGACTGCATACCTGACAAAAAGCCATCCCTATGTAGGAAAAGAATTGTGTGATGACTTTGAAATTGCAATGTAGGTGGATGCATAACAGCTCAAAACAATGAATATTAAATGCACTAATCTTAATTAGTATGCAAATGAAATACAGAAACCATTGCATATACTCTAATACAGATGCAAATGAGAACAGTTGTGGACAAACAGTATCCTAGTGCCAAAAGGGCGTATCCAGATAAAAAGAGGAAAATTACCAGTTAGGAAGAACTCAAGAAACTATTTGAAGTGAAACATCTTTGAAATATATGTACTGAATTTAGAAAAGCATGGCTTGCATCAAAAGATAATTACTGTGTGTGCAAGCACCGGTAGCATGATTATCAAATACAGTATTATGTAATGCAATTTGTAAATTCGAATGTCTTCATTATCGCCAGCTCAGATTTCCACTTTTTGTCCGATCCATGGTTAGTGCATGTACCCTGTCCTCATGCTCTCCACATTAGCCCAGTTTCCCCATAAAATTCATGTGGTTCCTTTGAGCCAACAAGGCCCTTGGCCTAATCTACTTTACAGGGTTTTTATTAGGCTAAAAGTAGGATTGAGGAAAATGTACAATACCTTTCGTTCCAGAAGATAAATGAAATGAAATTCACTTAAAACAGACCAAGTTATTAGTTGTTGGGGGAAAATAGTTGTCATAATTAATTGCAATAGCCTTAAGTAAAATAATTTACTTAAGATTAAGCCCATTGAACTAATTGGAGGTTAATTCTGAATAAGTTGTGTGTACAGTTCCAATGTGAATGGGAGAGGGCTCTGCAGAAAAAAATGATTCAGAAAACAAACAGACCTGAACATGTCTACAAGACTGAAGGGTGGAGAAAAAATATTCAAATCAGGACTGCTTCTCTGCTATACTGGTTCTGTGTTAGGAAGACAGATGTGAAATTTGAAATCCATCGAAGAAGAAAACAAAAGAGTAGACAGATCTATCCCAGCTGCTCTGTGGCTATTGAAGAATGTGACATTGCGGGGAAAGGTTGCCAGCCCCTCACATTGGATAGTTTAAAAATATTTTCTGTTGGTCATGGGGGTTCTGTGTGGGAAGTTTGGCCCAACTCTCTTGTTGGTGAGGTTCAGAATGCTATTTGATTGTAGGTGAACTATACATCCCAGCAACTAGAACTCCCAGATATCAATTTATTTTCCTCAAACTCCATCAGTGTTCCCATTTGCGCATATTGAGTATTCATGCCAAGTTTGGTCCAGATCCATCATGGTTTGAGTCCTCAGTGCTCTCTGGATGTAGGCGAACTACAACTCCAAAACTCAAGGTCAATGGCCACCAAACCCTTTCAGTGTTTTCTGTTGGTCATGGGAGTTCTGCGTTCCAAGTATGGTTCAATTTCATAATTGGTAGAGTTCAGAATGCTCTTTGATTGTAAATGAACTATAAATCCCAGCAACTAAACTCCCAAATGACAAAATCACACACACACCCCCACCAGTATTCAAATTTGGACATATCAGGTATTTGTGTCAAATTTAGTCCAGTGAATGAAAATATATCCTGCGTGTCAGGTATTTACATTACAGTAGCAAAATTTATAACCGTAGCAAAATTACAGTTCTGAAGTTGCAACAAAAATAATTTTATGGTTGGGGGTCACCACAACATGAGCAACTGTATTAAGGGGTGGCGGCATTAGGAAGGTTGAGAAACACTGCCTTAGCGGGACTTTCTGGAGTACATGGGAATGGAACCTGACACCCATCTGATGAGATCCTTACTCTATTCTAGAAAAAAGGTTGAGAACCACTAGGAAGGTCAAGAACCACTGTGCCAGTGGAATGTTATTTCTTGATTTTTTTTTACTACTAGGTTTTTTATGTGTCAAACTTAAATTTTATAAGGTGTGTCTGGTATGCATAATGCCTTGGTCCTTCCCAGTGGCCAGATTTCCGACAGCTATATTAATCCTTTCTTCTTATTCCGAACATATTAATGTTTAATCAGAAAATAAATATGTTTTGGTATTTTAAGTCCTTAGATAACCAGAGGGATAAGCATTTCTTTTCCACATTAAATGCAATGTCACTATCAGGTGGATTTAAACCTATTAGCAATGGGTTATATTTGAGGTGGGGTGGGCATTTAATTATGTTGATTAGACAAATCTAATTCTTTTTGCCTGTTTTGATAGGACCATCCAGGCTCCAGGGCAAGTTCCAGTAGTTGTATCCCCTGGGAACCAGCAGCTGCACACTGTAACACTCCAGACACTGCCTCTGACCACAGTGATCGCCAGCACGGATCCGTCATCAGCAGCAACACCCCAAAAGTTTATTCTGCAAGCCATCCCGACTTCACAGTCCATGACCGTGCTTAAAGAGAACGTCATGCTTCAGTCTCCGAAACCCGTCTCTCCTCCTTCCTCCATTGTTTTCAGCCCGGCTCAGGTTCACCAGGTTCTCACCAGCAACATGCAGACAATTTGCAATGGAACAGTCAATGTAGCAGCATCCTCTCCATCTTTCAACAGCTCTACTCCGGTTGTAACTTTTACTCCCAGCAGCTCACAGGTGGTTGCCCAGCCATCCAACACTGTGATCACTTCGGTCATTAAGGCGCCAGAAACTAAACCGACTGTTATTCAAGGGCTGATCAAACCGGAGGCAGAGGATGGCACAGTAGAGGAATGCAGACTCTCAGAGCAAAGTTTCCAACAGCAGCCTTTCATGGTGATGGTATCCAGTGCAAATGGATTTCCGTCAACTTTGCATATTAAACAAGAAAGCGAACAGTTGGAGCCAAGCACATATGAGTGAAACAGAAGTAAATTAACTTCCATGTATGGCAGTTTTCCTTAATGTGATGGGACTTCTTCAGTTTTGTATATATCATTTGATTCCAAAGCAGATATTATGAAGATACTTTAATTTCTGAAATTAATTTTAGAAGGTAATACTATAGATTTGATTTTATTTTTTTCTCTTTGTTAAATAATATATGGATGTTTCAAAATGCAAGTATAAAGGAACATGCAGCTTATCTTTATTAGATCACTGTCCAGCTCTTAAATTTCCTACACTTCATGCATTATTTGTCTGTCTTGTAACCAGTACTGTAATCAACGCTTTGAAGCAAGAGTTAATTATCACACTTCTCATTCCATGTGTTTGATTCTCACAGCAAATTTCAAAGATCTGATTTATGCCAGTGAATTAAGAAAGTTTTGGTTTGTGTACACAGTAAGCAAATGTTAATTTGTTTCTATTGTATTTTGTCCCAGAGATTGTGCAAAATAAGAAGACTCCCTTTATCAAGAAGATATTTACCATTTATACATTTTATTTACTAGATACTTTTTGTTTTCATTTTATGGATAGATTAAATATACATTTTTATCAAAATGGAAGTTGTCACAACAGGTAAAATTATTTTCACAGCACTCTAATCCTGAAGCATAAAAAAGAAAATATGATTTTCTGCTATTTTTGTAAGGAGGTGAAAAAATAAGTATATGGGACTTGCACAAGTATTTTCCAATTGAAATGTTTCTATCAAAGTACTTTTCTATTGTAAATATGTAATTTAAATTCTCAAAGAGGTTTTCATAAAAATGTTCTTTCCACAGAGCAATATTTTATAGATAAAGATAAGATCATTATGTTTAGAGCTCTAATGTTATATCTATTCGTATATTACAAAGTGAATTTGTATTTAAAAGAAAATTTTAAATTGTGGGACTCTTTTGGACCCCTTTGCCTTTTTTGTATTTTAATTGGTTTATTATGAAAATAAATCAAATACAACATCATTGTATATTTTTGTCTGTGGATATATGGGTTTGGCTTGGCAGGAAAAGGATGTTTAAAATTGATCAGTATTGCAGGGCCTAGTTAAACAAGTCAGTGTAACATTCTCTCTATAACTTAACTGCAAGCAGCAGATGATGTAGTGCCTTTGCCAGTGTGACCATCAAATAGATTTATAAAGAAATAAATTTGGCCCTCAAAGATCAGTTGCCCAAAAAACGTATTGTCTTATTATTTTGTTGATGAGTATTATCATGTATACTCGAGTATAAGCCAAGTTTTTCAGTCCTTTTATAGGCTCAAAAAGCCCCCCTCTGCTTATACTTGAGTCAAAGTTATGCATTATTTTACTCTATTATTATTACAATTATTATTTCTGTTGTAATTTTATTGGTATCTTTTTATTTTGAAATTTACCAGTAGCTGCTGCATTTCCCACTCTTGGCTTATACTCGAGTCAATACGTTTTTCCAGTTTTCCAGTTTTTCCCCCCCAGTTTTCTGTGGTAAAATTAGGCGCCACGGCTTATACTCAAGTATATATGGTATATGAAGAAAGAGTGACAGAGACCTACCACTACTAAATGATGGGGCTCTGAAACAGATCATTCAGAAGGTCAGTAAGCTTTCAGGAATATGTTATGATCATCAGTGATACTTGGGCAAAAGAGAAGAAAAGGGCTGAACAATGAAGGTTGGGCTATACTCAGTTTCAAAAAACAGAGTCATATGAAGTCAAAACTGAGAATTGCAGATATCTAGAAATCTGGCAGCCATGATTTAGGGATAAGAGAAATCCTTAGACATAGCTACCTACTGACCCTACAAATATGAAAAGAATTCTTGTTTCAAGGAAAAATAGGGCTACAAAGTCCCTAAAGGGGATTTTGAACATTTACACAGATTATGCCCATTTCAGAAATGATATACACAGGCTAACTTGAATGATTAAACATTTATCAGAGTCAAGATGTCACCGGCCTTAATTGGCGAATAGTTCTTTGCTCTGTACAATATAGGTTAATATGCTTTGGGGTTGTACAGACATTTCTCTCGCCTGATCTGTCTGCCTCACAGAAATGTTCAGATCAGTACAATGCAGCATTAATCTAATAGGTTCTTCAACATGCTCTTCATGCCTACACATAGGGTGAATTTAATACTCAGTATCTTACCTTAACTTTCTTCCTGCAAGCCAGTTTGTGTGTGTGTGTAAAGGAGCTACAGTGGATAGAAAATGGTTTATCAGAACTATCTAGATGACTGTGTTTCTTAACCTTTCTAATGCCGTGACCCCTTAAATACAGTTCCTCACGTTGTGGTGAATCCAAAGCATACAACTATTTTCGTTGCTACTTCATAACTGTAATTTTGCTACTTTTATGAATCGTAATGTAAATATCTGATATGC